TGTTATATCATAACAGTATATTAGCTAACAAACTCTATGAAGTTTTTGCTATTATATATTTAGCTTAAGTTAATCATATCTTAAGCTCAGTACTATGGATATATCATAAAAGTATATTAGCTAACAAACTCTATGAAATTTATGCTATCATATTGTCAAGCTTAAGTCTATTAGTCTTAAGCATAGTATGCATGTTGTATATACTTTTATCTTAATATTATATTGTAATAACCCATATAGGGCAGCTAATAAGTTAGCAGCAGGAATTCATCAATCAGTACCTTTATGAAGTTCCCATAAGGGTTATTACAGTCATTACAGAAATCACTAATTATTTAGAATCCAAAGTATTCTGTATTCCCACCTCCATTTCCGTCGGATTCTACAAGCAAGTAGCATGAGTCAGGATAAGAAAAAATATGTAATTTTCTGATTAAAATTGATATTTTATACTTATCCTGACTCATGAGGTAAGCCCTCCCGTCCTCCCCACATAACACTTTGGATTTCCCTGAAAATTCAAGTGTTGGGCTCACTATATAAGGAGAGAGTGAGGCACATGGCAGGAGGTGGCGCCCTCGTTCCCGCGCTTTTGAGGGAACGGATAACTCGTGGTGAGTACTAATTAGTGATTTTACATTGAAGGGAACTTCAATTGGGAGATACAAGTGTTCCACTGTGTTCGCAAGAAGAAGAAGACAAGCAAGTAGCATGAGTCAGGATAAGTATAAAATATCAATTTTAATCAGAAAATTACATTATTGTATATTATTATTAAGCCTTAATTCTGGTCTCCAGTTTTTGTCAGTATTTGTGAGATGTTGTTCTCAATTATGCTGTTATACCCCGTTACTATTATGCTGTTTCCCCGTGTGTTCCTCATTACTATTGTAATGTTTTTCACTGTGTGTTTGCTGGGGGTTTCTGCTATGTTGCAGTTTCTATATGGCACACGCTGTATAGTTTGTAAGGCGGGGTATCTCATAAGTGCCTTCATTCATACTGTTTGAATTGCACTTTTCCGTGTTTTTCCCCATTTTTCACATGAATAAATGTGCTTGTTGCGCTTTCTTAATATATCATCTTAACACCTTTTTTTTCCATCTATGAAGCGCCAAGTCCACCACCGACGTCGCCTATGGCAAGCACCCAGATACCCATCCACACTTGACCTAGTTAGCAGGGCAATCTGGTACAACAACGCTACTGCTGTTCATAACCGCAGCATCTGTACGGTGCATCTACCCCATGGACTACGATCTCGGCGTTCAGCAGTTGGTGTCAGCGTCTCCGTCGCAAAACCTACCTGTTCCAGCTTCGTTCCTGACTACAGCAAATGTATGGTCTACCTGATCCAGTGCCTGTACGGTGCCTGTAAACCATCCTTACTCACTCCAGAGCCTGTATGGCGTTTTCCACCAGATCGAGCGCTTGTATGGCGCCTATAAAATCATACTCACTCACTCCAGCGCCTGTACGGCGGTTCTACCAGATACAGCGCCTGTACGGCGCTACCAGCTGTTTGGCGCCTCTACTAGATCTAGTGCCTATAAACCCATACTCATAAACCCAGCAGGTAGACACCAGATTCAGCACCTATATGATGCCTCCACTATATCCAGTGTCTCCGGTGTGTAACATACTGTGCCATCGCCTCCAAAATCTTCAAGGGTTCGGCAGCTGTTGGTTGCGCCACTGTCTCTGATGGCCCCTACGTCGGAGATTTCAACTATTATGGCACCTAAGGCCGGGCATGGCATTTACGCAATCCCTTGTCAAGAAATTAAACGCGTGACAGTTTTCTTCGTACAGTGCGTCTTACAAGGCGTGAGTCTCAAGGAATGACGGCCCTTGATTTTTACAGCAAGTCCAACATCCCTCATCACATGAATCCAGTACCTACTATTGCCTCGACGCCACACTGTTAGGCGGGTATGGAATCAGGCTTGGAGACGTGGTGACAAGTCTCATATCGACAAACACAAGGGAGGATATAAACGTAGCTGCGTCCCCTTCAAGGGTAACGGAAGCAGGGGCAAATGAAGCTCAAGATCCACACGACTGGACACTCTGTCCTCCAGAGGCCCTTGTATTATCCAAACACCCGTACTTGGTGACTACTGCGTTTCTGACGTAATTGGTTATTTCTTGGGGGTCCATACGTCACGACATCTGGAAACATGTGTTCCATCTCCTGCCTTCCATCTCCTGTGCCGGGTTCCGAAGTTTACTTTTGACCGGGAGTACCTGCGCTTTTACTTCAACAGCTCCATGGTTATTAACTCGTATCATAATGCAGCCACAGTGATAATTTGGTGATTTCATGTGTGCTCTCCGCCATATGACGTAATTTGCATACGGACAGCAGCCAGTTTTCACCATACATCTTTATATTAGCTGGGTTGACTTGTCAACCGGGACATTTCGGACCTTGTACCATCACACACACTGACGTAGATTTGAAGCCTCTTTCAGGCAGACAAGATCCTCATTCGGAATCTGGCAGGTACAGGTTTTAGACCCTCATCCCACATGTGCTGTTCAGACCGATGTCCACCCGGGATTGACAGGCGGACAATCGTCAACGTGTCGGTCTCCTACCTCACTTACCTTAGTATTTCTTTTTCCTGTAGTGGACCCGCCCATAGATGTCAAAGCTGCAGTCCCCTTGAATGAGCGAGTTGCGGACTACCTACGTTTAGGTCGGCACTTCCATGCAGTATTAAGGCACCCCCTTACTATATCTGATAATCTCAGTGTTTCGGACATGAGATCAATCAGCAGTTTGCAGCTCTAGGCAGTGTGTCCTCGCTATCCGTCACTGGGTGCATTATCTTCCGGGCAACCCAATTGTTGTGCGGTTTAACAAGAGTTTGACCGGGTTACTGTTTCCAGAAGTTCCGTCTGTATTCCAGTAATACCCGACACCCATGTCCATCTGAGAACTCAGCATATTCCTGGGTGCGGGTACATCTTAGCAGACGCTATATCGGGATCTGACGCTTTCACAGACTGAATGCTACACAAAGAGATACCGGTTTATGTGTTTCTGTCTCAGGATGGTCAGCCTGGGCAGAGGATGGCTTAAGCCTTTCCTGGGGGAGCTACATGCAAAATACGTTTCTTCCGGTCTTGCTTCCAAATCTTGTCGTCCCAATCAAGAATTAACAACTTGACTTCGACTATATTTAGTCGGTCCCAACAGAGACCATATGATATCTATTATATGGTCTCTGGTCCCAGCTGACCAACCAGAGGTTGGTTTCCGATTTGAAGCAGTCTAGTGTCAAGTGCTCCTTTTCAACTAGCTAGATGGGGAAACATCCTATAGTGCATCCTCATCCCACCACAGAACGATTCAATTAACACACTGCATCTGCAGGCGGCATTATGCGCCAATTACTTTTCAGCCAGAGCATTGTTACTGCATTGCTGATGAACATTAGACTCCTATCAGGCACATGTATAACAAGGGGCAGTCGTTCGAGCAGTTGTGTTGCCATGAAGCAGGATCCGCTGAATACACACACACACACACACCTGTTTTAGCAGTTTCCTGCTTTATTTTTAGACGGAAGGCGTTTCTGTTCGTGGCAATTCCCTTTGTTTTAGCAGTCCCCATTGACAGGAGCTACCATCCATGCTTTATTTATTTAAGGAGTAGCACTTGGAAAAACTCAAGTCAATGCTTTTTACTGCATTTCCCTAAAGCTAATCTTGCTTTAAAAATCATGTGGTCTTTTCCTACATGTCTTATATGTGAATTACCACTGAGAGATAGTCACTGTCTGTTGACTATTCTGCCAGGTGCAACGAAGATACCTTCCACCATGCTTTTTTTCCCAAAAAGGAAGCAGATTCCAGATTCCACGAAGGTGTCTTCATTCATGATTTTTCTTCCCACGAGGCATAATAATAATAATAATTGATTTATAGAGCGCCTATTTCCAAAAGATATTGCTCAATGGCGCTATGAAGAGAAAAGATTGTAGACAATGTCTGTGGAAAAGAGAGTTTGAACAGATGAGTTTTGAGGGCAGTTTTGAAAGCATCAGCAGATTCTATTTCTTTTAGGGTGAGTGGTAGAATGTTCCAGAGATGTTGCCGTGTGAAAAAAAAGAAAGAAGTTTTTCCAGGAGAACAACTGGGTGTGTCAGTTAAGGAGTAACGCTAGGGTTAACCTGAGTCACTGCTTTTTACTGCATTTCCCTAAAGCTTATAACGCTTTAAAATCGTGTGGTATATTCCATTTAAGACTCCGTGTCTAGGTGGGATGACGGTTTTCCACCACCGAGGCGCACTTGATAACATTGACCGAGCTGTCTTTGTTTACCTTGCAAGGCGATCCCCACAGATGACACGCCCTCCATCCTCCCTGTCCGATAAAGGTGCAGGAAGTAAGTAGTGCAGGATTAGTTAAAAATTTGGTAAAATCTAAATATTTTGTATATTTGTATACTTATCCTGCACTACTTATGATAAGGGCCCACCCTGTGCTATCAGCTACCTCCCATCTTCGTTTTCATCTGTGGGATTTACGGCAATAATCAAAGGTGGCTGAGGTCACCTTCCGGTGATGCGTGCGCGGACAGATGTTTACCCGAGACCAGGAAGTGATCACAGTCTACGGTTTCAACATCAATCGTCTGGCACAGCCACGTTTCAAGTCGTAAGCAATAAGTGCAGGAAGTAAGTAGTGCATGATAAGTATACAAATATAAAAAATATTTAGATTTTACTAATATTGGCAAGTAACAGTGTCATCTGATTATCTGTATTGTGACATTTTTGTGTTATTTGTGTTGTGCGTTTTATTATTCATGTGCAGTTTAATAGTCACTTATATTTGTAGGTTTACCGTATTTGTAAATATGACTATTGTTTTGTACAGGATATATTATTAAAGTATTCACACGATATGAGATTGTGAGACCCTCATCTGTGAAAGGATACCTAGTCACATAGTTCTTCTAACAATTATGATCTCTTATGTTGAACAGATGCAGAGAAGAAAGACATATGACAAGCTCCCACTACAAGCCAACTTCTACCCTATGCCAGCCATGATGTTCATGGAAGATTCAAATTGCAGATTCAGCATTTTGTCCCAGCAGAGTTTGGGTGTATCAAGTCTCATTCAGGGTAAAAACATTTCTATGTAGCATTGTTAAGCATCAGTGAAATTACCAGAGTGTGTTCAGCGTGATGCAGTGTAAGCTGTGAATGTAAGAGAATGAGTCCAGTGTGACACAGTGAATGTAGGAGAATGTGTCCAGTGTGACACAGTGAATGTAAGAGAATGTGTCCAGTGTGACACAGTGAATGTAGGAGAATGTGTCCAGTGTGACACAGTGAATGTAGGAGAATGTGTCCAGTGTGACACAGTGAATGTAGGAGAATGTGTCCAGTGTGACACAGTGAATGTAGGAGAATGTGTCCAGTGTGACACAGTGAATGTAGGAGAATGTGTCCAGTGTGACACAGTGAATGTAGGAGAATGTGTCCAGTGTGACACAGTGAATGTAGGAGAATGTGTCCAGTGTGACACAGTGAATGTAGGAGAATGTGTCCAGTGTGACACAGTGAATGTAGGAGAATGTGTCCAGTGAGACAGAGAATGTAGGAGAATGTGTCCAGTGTGACACAGACACAGTGAATGTAAGAGAATGTGTCCAGTGTGACACAGTGAATGTAGGAGAATGTGTCCAGTGTGACACAGTGAATGTAGGAGAATGTGTCCAGTGTGACACAGTGAATGTAGGAGAATGTGTCCAGTGTGACACAGTGAATGTAGGAGAATGTAGGTGTGACACAGAATGTAAGAATGTGTCCAGTGTGACACAGTGAATGTAAGAGAATGAGTCAGTGTGACACAGTGAATGTAGGAGAATGTGTCCAGTGTGACACAGTGAATGTAGGAGAATGTGTCCAGTGTGACACAGTGAATGTAGGAGAATGAGTCCAGTGTGACACAGTGAATGTAGGAGAATGTGTCCAGTGTGACACAGTGAATGTAGGAGAATGTGTCCAGTGTGACACAGTGAATGTAGGAGAATGTGTCCAGTGTGACACAGTGAATGTAGGAGAATGTGTCCAGTGTGACACAGTGAATGTAGGAGAATGTGTCCAGTGTGACACAGTGAATGTAGGAGAATGAGTCCAGTGTGACACAGTGAATGTAGGAGAATGTGTCCAGTGTGACACAGTGAATGTAGGAGAATGTGTCCAGTGTGACACAGTGAATGTAGGAGAATGTGTCCAGTGTGACACAGTGAATGTAGGAGAATGAGTCCAGTGTGACACAGTGAATGTAGGAGAATGTGTCCAGTGTGACACAGTGAATGTAGGAGAATGTGTCCAGTGTGACACAGTGAATGTAGGAGAATGTGTCCAGTGTGACACAGTGAATGTAGGAGAATGTGTCCAGTGTGACACAGTGAATGTAAGAGAATGAGTCCAGTGTGACACAGTGAATGTAGGAGAATGTGTCCAGTGTGACACAGTGAATGTAGGAGAATGTGTCCAGTGTGACACAGTGAATGTAGGAGAATGTGTCCAGTGTGACACAGTGAATGTAGGAGAATGTGTCCAGTGTGACACAGTGAATGTAGGAGAATGTGTGTCCAGTGTGACACAGTGAATGTAGGAGAATGTGTCCAGTGTGACACAGTGAATGTAAGAGAATGTGTCCAGTGTGACACAGTGAATGTAGGAGAATGTGTCCAGTGTGACACAGTGAATGTAGGAGAATGTGTCCAGTGTGACACAGTGAATGTAGGAGAATGTGTCCAGTGTGACACAGTGAATGTAGGAGAGTGTGTCCAGTGTGACACAGTGAATGTAGGAGAATGTGTCCAGTGTGACACAGTGAATGATGTAGAAGAATGTGTCCAGTGTGACACAGTGAATGTAGGAGAATGTGTCCAGCGTGACACAGTGAATGTAGGAGAGAAGTGTGTCCAGTGTGACACAGTGAATGTAGGAGAATGTGTCAAGTGTGACACAGTGAATGTGGGACACAGTGTCCAGTGTGACACAGTGAATGTAGGAGAGTGTGTCCAGTGTGACACAGTGAATGTAGGAGACTGTCAAGTGTGACACAGTGAATGTAGAAGACAGTGTCCAGTGTGACACAGTGAATGTAGGAGAGTGTGTCCAGTGTGACACAGTGAATGTAGGAGAGTGTGTCCAGTGTGACACAGTGAATGTAGGAGAGTGTGTCCAGTGTGACACAGTGAATGTAGGAGAGTGTGTCCAGTGTGACACAGTGAATGTAGGAGAGTGTGCCCAGTGTGACACAGTGAATGTAGGAGAGTGTGTCCAGTGTGACACAGTGAATGTAGGAGAGTGTGTCCAGTGTGACACAGTGAATGTAGGAGAGTGTGTCCAGCGTGACACAGTGAATGTGGGAGAATGTGTCCAGTGTGACACAGTGAATGTAGGAGAGTGTGTCCAGTGTGACACAGTGAATGTAGGAGAATGTGTCCAGTGTGACACAGTGAATGTAGGAGAGTGTGTCCAGTGTGACACAGTGAATGTAGGAGAGTGTGTCCAGTGTGACACAGTGAATGTGGGAGAATGTGTCCAGTGTGACACAGTGAATGTAGGAGAGTGTGTCCAGTGTGACACAGTGAATGTGGGAAAATGTGTCCAGTGTGACACAGTGAATGTGGGAGAGTGTGTCCAGTGTGACACAGTGAATGTGGGAGAATGTGTCCCGTGTGACACAGTGAATGTAGGAGAGTGTGTCCAGTGTGACACAGTGAATGTGGGATAATGTGTCCAGTGTGACACAGTGAATGGGAGAGTGTGTCCTGTAGACACAGTGAATGTAGGAGAATGTGTCCTGTGACACAGTGAATGTGGGAGAGTGTGTCCAGTGTGACACAGTGAACGTAGGAGTGTGTCCAGTGTGACACAGTGAATGTGGGAAAATGTGTCCAGTGTGACACAGTGAATGTAGGAGAGTGTGTCCAGTGTGACACAGTGAATGTAGGAGAGTGTGTCCAGTGTGACACAGTGAATGTTGGAAACTGTGTCCAGTGTGACACACTGATTGTTGGAGAATGTGTCCAGTGTGACACAGTGAATGTTGGAAACTGTGTCCAGTGTGACACACTGATTGTTGGAGAATGTGTCCAGTGTGACACAGTGAATGTAGGAGAATGTGTCCAGTGTGACACAGTGAATGTAGGAGAATGTGTCCAGTGTGACACACTGATTGTTGGAGAATGTGTCCAGTGTGACACAGTGAATGTAAGAGAATGAGTCCAGTGTGACACAGTGAATGTAGGAGAGTGTGTCCAGCGTGACACAGTGAATGTAGGAGAATGTGTCCAGTGTGACACAGTGAATGTAGGAGAGTGTGTCCAGCGTGACACAGTGAATGTAGGAGAGTGTGTCCAGCGTGACACAGTGAATGTAGGAGAATGTGTCCAGTGTGACACAGTGAATGTAGGAGAGTGTGTCCAGCGTGACACAGTGAATGTAGGAGAGTGTGTGCCCAGTGTGACACAGTGAATGTAGGAGAGTGTGTCCAGTGTGATGTGATATGATTTTTGTGTGCAGGTGTATCTGGAAGGCTTCTCTGACGTTGCATGTGACCTTTAAGCAGGTTTATGACCTCTCTGGAAAGTAGATACTAAATATGTATTGAACCATTGTGAATAGAAATAAGATTAAGCCAAATAATACTGACATCATGCACCTAAAAGTCTGAAGTACACAATATTTTAATAAAAAATTGAAAATCGTGAAATAAAAGTAAAAAAATTTCTGGATAATTATGGGTTAAGACTTTTCTTTGTATATTTTTCATCCAGTTCTAACACAGACCATACAGGTACCTAAAATGTATATTTTAAGGTTTCGTTTGTAGAACTGCTTTTGAAAGACTAAATCCGAACATGTACACCTTGGAATGTTGATGTTGTTGACATTAGTAATATCACATTCCCAGAACACATCTTGTGATACATTATAAGCTGTAAGCTTCTCTCGAGGGTAATATGGTCTGATGTACGCATCCTTGCAGCAGTGTCAGCCGAGCCGGTAGCAAGGGACGACACTGCTACAAAGATCAGACCGTATTACCCGAGGGAGAAGTTTGCAGTGTATTTATCTTACCACCATGTTAAATACACAAAATATCATTTTGTTTTATTTTGAAGATAGATAAGCTCGCTACCGACTATATGACATGTAAACAAATTGGCATTTACCTCTCGACTGGATTTTTAAAATCAGCGAAACATATTCTGACAAGCTTCAAACTGCTCTAGAAATGGTTAATTATCTTTACGTTGAGTGTGCAAGCGATGCAAGTTTTGAAATGGTTTAAATAAAGCACTAAAAGTCGTTAAAATAAATGTGTACATTGTGAACTCAAAAACAGCTGATTGAATTGTTTTCGAACTCCATGCACTGTATGTGTCATATTATGAAGTCATACGATTGTTAGCAATACAGCCTCTTGGCGGAGAGTTTAGCGGTTACTGTGTCTGTCATTGTAGCGTTGTTTCAGCTGATATGCAATTAATGTTTACCACCATAAGCTTGTTATGTTTCTGTCCATGTTTCATTGACATGTCATACTGCCTTTCCATATCCTGCATTGTACACAGCCACACCAGCCATTAGTTTGATGCAATGGAGAATTTAGTGTCATATCACCACAAGTGTTTTGATTGTACCAGGTTTTTGAATGGCATTTAGAAGTGCTACACATATATATCCTTACTCCTTCGTCAGATAATGAAGGAGTAAGAACATACTCCGAAACATTGTGTTCCTCATAATAAAGAAGTTGACATCCATTAAAAAATCTCTTCCTTATGATTTGATTGTGTTTGTTTCAGGCGAGTAGCACCGTGACCCTGGGCTACCCAACCCTCGTGGCACACCTGGTGTCCCTGCATCTGACTCAGCCGATATTTGTGATGCCCCAGAAACCAAGCTCCCCATCCCTCACACTCAACCCTGTCTTCACACCCATTTCGCAGGAACTGCCCTGTGACCTACATTTGCTCAACCTCCGAACTATGCAGAACAAAGATGACAGTCCGGAACTGAAGTATGTTCCACGGGACACAGCAGCGCTGCTGCTGCACCGGCTTGCCTTCGACTGTTCCTACCCGGTGATAGGCTTGTCGTGTGTTGCCACCAGCACCAAGGTAAGCCAGCAGGCAACAGTATACATTCCTACCCGGTGATAGGCTTGTCGTGTGTTGCCACCAGCACCAAGGTAAGCCAGCAGGCAACAGTCTACATTCCTACCCGGTGATAGGCTTGTGTTGTGTTGCCACCAGCACCAAGGTAAGCCAGCAGGCAACAGTATACATTCCTACCCGGTGATAGGCTTGTGTTGTGTTGCCACCAGCACCAAGGTAAGCCAGCAGGCAACAGTCTACATTCCTACCCGGTGATAGGCTTGTGTTGTGTTGCCACCAGCACCAAGGTAAGCCAGCAGGCAACAGTATACATTCCTACCCCAAGTGATAGGCTTGTGGCTTGTGTTGTGTTGCCACCAGCACCAAGGTAAGCCAGCAGGCAACAGTATACATTCCTACCCGGTGATAGGCTTGTGTTGTGTTGCCACCAGCACCAAGGTAAGCCAGCAGGCAACAGTATACATTCCTACCCGGTGATAGGCTTGTGTTGTGTTGCCACCAGCACCAAGGTAAGCCAGCAGGCAACAGTCTACATTCCTACCGGTGATGGAGGCATGGGTTGCTTTGCCACCACCACCAAGGTAAGCCAGCGGGCAACAGTCTACATTCCTACCGGTGATAGGCGTGTTGCTTTGCCACCAGCGCCAAGGTAAGCCAGCCAACGCTACATTCCTACCCGGTGATAGGCCAGCAGGCAAAGCCAATACATTCCTACCGGTATAAGCTGGTGTATTGCCACCAACACCAAGGTAAAGCCAGCAGGCAACAGTCTACATTCCTACCCGTATAGGCGTGGGTTATACATTCCTACCGGTGATAGGCTTGCTTGTGTTGCCACCAGCGCCAAGGTAAGCCAGCAGGCAACAGTATAGCTGGTGTATTGTGAAGCGTAATTGTGTTGCATATTGCAATATGTGCAACACGTGCAAAACTGTAATTTTTCTTTATCCTGACTCATGCTAAATGCTTGCCTCCTTCTTCTTGCGAATGATAGTGGAACACTTGAAATCCCTTGAAGTTCCCTTCTAAAAAGCGGACGTAAAATCATCACACCCACGAGTAGTCTCCCTTGCCTCCTTGACCATTTTGGTCACATGACCAGGTATGTTTGTCACTCTCTCCATCTTAGCCCTTGAGGACGGTTGTGAGAGCACCTGGGTCCCTATTCGGCACATATCCTTTTCTATTTTGGACCTTTTACATCTAAATGGCAGCTGTATATGGTTTTTGGATTGTATATTATCAAATGTTTTGATATTATGTCTAAATTATATGCTGTTTGCCATGTTTTTCATCTGGTTTACAATTGATGAAAACTTGTATTCGTTGTAGGTACCGGCTGTCTGTGGCTGTGGCTATCGCTATCGCTGTAAACATTGTCAGAAACTAACTACTTTTGAATTTAATAACTACCTTTTTTCTCTTCATAAACGTGCAAAGGACTGTGTAAGAAGGTATTCACAAGTCATGTCTGGTAAATCGAGTGATTGCGCTGATAACTGTGTGTTAACTACTGCTGCCGATGTTCATAATTCCAGTGAATTGCCGAGCGTTTTATGGGGGCAGGTCGCTGTTCCAGTGATGAACTCCGTCTCGAATAAGTAGAGATCGTCATCAACAGAGCTGTCCTCATTGCAGACAAGAAGACGAGATCTTCTTCAGCGCAGAAGAAGAAGTCTACAGCTCCTAAGACTTTGTCGAAGTCTCTTTGCAGCTCTACGCAGAAGACAAGATCCTTCACTGCTGATATCACAGAACTTCAACCCGGGGCTGTTTATGCAACAGTTTACAGACCAGATGATGTCGATGATGGAACGATGCTTCGCGCAGGAGAAAGCTGCTACGAAGACCACTACGATGACTACAAGCCTGCGTGAAGATTCAGCAACCTCTCCAACGCACTTGGAAGAAGAGGGAAGCCTGCGTGAAGGCGCATGCATCCGACGATCTTCCCAGTCTGAAGTTAGGAGCCTGGACAACACTACCAGCGTCAGCTCAGCCTTAGACGTCCCTGAAGGAGCCGCTAAGAATTCTCCATGCAGAGGCAGATCGAAGCGTTCTCCCGAACCCTACAGACGTCGTAGATACGGATTGTCATCACTGTCGGACTTAGACTCACATCGGGATCCTGCGCGCAGGCACTCCACATCTCACAGAGGGGAGATTATGTGAATCAGCCGTCGTGAAGGCCTAGAGAGATAAATCAAGACTCCAGGAGGAATACATGGTCACACTGGGACCCTTCACCTGCACACTCCACGATGGAGCCTCCACACAGTTTCAGCATCTCAGCAGGAAGGATTCTAACACAGAAATAGATCCAGTCGTTCTCCAGGATTCTACAGACTGCGCAGATACGGATCTTCCAACTTGGACCTTCATCAACCTGCGCGCAGGCACTCACGGGGAGGATTATAATCAGAGTCAGCACGTCCCGCCATTCAACGATAGCAGATATCCCCTTCATCATACGGAGCCCTTCATGATAACATCAGGGTTTGAGATTACAAGATCATCAGTGAATCCCGTAATAGATCTTCAAGATGGAAGATAAGAAGATGCAACTAGATGTTGTCTATGTTGGATCAACGAGTGGCTGAAGGAAGGGACGCACACCTCAACTAACGATGTCAGATAACATCCGATGAAACACAGAAGAAGAATTTTCATCACATGGGCTTACAAGATATCAAGGGGACAGTTAACAGCTTTGCCGCAGTTCCTCAGCGAGACATCGGTTACGGTCAACTTTACAGAACATCTGTATAAGATGACGACTGCAGTAAAGATTATAAAGTTGAAGAATACAGTCACAGCAGACAGGGAACAGTCTGCTTACATCGGTACTACGCTGCAAAGTTTTCATGCGCTTCCACTCGGCCATCTAGACACATGTTCACTCGTGTAACTCCGGCACAAGCCGAACAGAGAGGTTATGGACAAGGCTGAGTGTTGACGAAGAAATCAACGACTGCACAAGATTCTACGAGGATCATTTACCTGCAACACCGGTGACGTCACATCTGTAATCTGATTGGTCCATGATAGACAACGCCCTGCGCAGAACCGGTCATAGTCACGTGCCAGGAAGTCGTCTACAGTTGTAAACAACTCTTTGAACGTGGGAAAGGCTCCATTTACAGTCCAGTTAGCAGGGTACAGACTATCTTCACGGGTCATAGAGGACTTCCCCGTCAGCAGATTTATTATTGGTCATCTGGGACTTGCAGCGACAAGCGTTAGATGGTTTCTGCTCGCGGCAGCAAGTCGACTATAAATAGACTTCACATCGCTGGCAGTCCAAGCACATCATAGATTGTTGCTGATCTAGAGACAACGTATTATGCATCATCGCTGCACATTGTTCGGATTCTGGTGACAACATCTTCATTACATATTACCGGAAGATTGATGAGACAAGCTTCAAGCCATGATTCAAGAATCGATCATCTCTCCGCTTCCATGTCGGACATGGCAAGAGCTCCTAGATCCACGTACCTACAATGTAGGTAGATGGCTAGTAATCTCCTAATCGGAGTTGGAACCAAAACAGGATCTTCAATTTCTGAGAATATGGCTCATCACACCACAGAATCACACGGTCGTCCCAGAGGATTGTTGGGTCAAGATACAACATATGATATATCCAGCAATGCTCTCTCCGTTGACACTACGTGCTTGGCACAGCATGCTCGGTCTACTCACCTCAGTTCAAGAGATGACTCGCAGAGGGAGATTACAGCTGCGCCCACTACAAATATTTGTGAACGCCCATCTCAACAGTCTGGATCCACTGATACTACCGGACAGCCTGAAACCATACCTCCTATGGTGGACTCAGAAGTAGGTTTGCGGAGGAACCTTTTTGTCAGAGCCAGTTGACAACACTCATCTCTACGTGGATGCATCACTAAAAAGGATGGGGTGCTCACCTCAACAACGAAGTGGCAGCATGAAAGTGGTCGAGTCAGGATCAGAGTCTGCACATCAACTTGTTTGAGATGAAAGCAGTGATCAACACTTTACAACGCTGGTCCAGTGTACTAAGGAACGCAAGGCTCACGGTCCACACGGACAACTTCACAGTAGCGTTCTACATCAACGAACAAGGATCAACAAGTCTGCTAAAACTCCGCTTTCTCCTGTTCAGCATCATCAACGACCTGAACATCTACATGAAGGCATGCCACATTCCAGGAGCAAAGAATGTCATAGCAGACGCCCTATCTTGTACACTACAACCATCCCTGACGGAATGGATGTTACATCCAGAAGTGTTCCGGTTCGTCATACAGACAGTAGGATCTTTGCAACAAAAGTCAACAAACAACTACCAACATTCGTCTCACCGATTCCGGATCCTTAGGCATGGGCAACAGATGCTTTAAGCATCTCATGGGAAGGACTAAACGCTTACGCGTTTCCACCTCCAGCACTATTTCCACAAGTAATACAGAAAATCAAGCAGACGACAACGTTGCAACTGATTTGGTCGCGCCCAATTGGCCAGTGAGGGTATGGTTTCCCGTCCTCATACAAGGACTCGGAAGTCCAACCCTGAAACTACCAGAGTGGTCGAACGTGCTCGTCCATACACTCACCAAGCAAGCTCACGGGGATCCGTCATTGTTCCAGCCACACGCTTGGAGCGTATCAAAGCTTGCCTAAAGACAAGAAGGTACTCCACCAGAGCAGGGAAAACAGTAACACTAGCTCTACGCAGATCAACTCGCAACTTGTACGACGACAAGTGGCAGAGATTTGAACAGTATGCAACGAGGAAAGGCTTTACGGGGGTAAAAGCAACTCATCCTCAAGTGGCGGAATACTTGTGTCATTTGCAACAGACGAGACACTTGAAAGGTTCAACACTGTCAACGTACCTGGCTGCTCTCAGCACAGTTATCACCATGAAGACGGGTGTCAAGCTGACCAAAGTACTAGAGATACTGGCACTGCTACACTCGTTTAAGTTGCAAGACCAACAAAAGAAATTCAAGGCTCCTGCCTGGGATATCAACGTAGTTCTACAACATCTCACCAGTGATGCCTACGAGCCTCTAGAACGGACATCCTTTGAACTACTGACACAGAAAACGCTGTTTCTAATCGCCCTAGCAACAGCAGCACGGATGTCAGAAATACATGCTCTGGACGAACACGATTTGAATCAAGCCATCGTGACATCGTACATCTAGGACTGAGATGGGACTTTATTGCCAAGAACCAGCCTGACAGACAGTTCCACATCCCAGCACTTTCTACAGTCCTTGGGCCACAGGATACACAGGATTTATCTTTATGCCCTGTCAGAGCATTGAAAGTCTACCTCCAAAGGACAAAAACAAAGAGACAAAAATTCAAGCGCCTATTCATCCCCTTATCCACTGAGACGCCCACGGAAGTCTCGCGGACAAAGCAGCAGGACTTGAGCCTCCACGAGCCTCCAATCCAAGTCAGAGCCTTGGCGTCTACACTTGCTCTGCATGGAAACTGCTTGATTACAACAATATTGGAGTACTGCTTTTGGAAGTCGGACACAGTGTTTGCCAAACACTACCTCAGAGACATTGCTACTGAAGACGTCTCAGGCATTCACCAGTTTGGGCCACTTGTTGTAGCACAACAACTAACGGTTCCACAAAGGCGCTGAGAAAAATCTCACCCTTTTATCATGTGACTTGTGAAAACCAAAGCTCTGGAGAGCAAATGGTTAAAGTCCATGCACACATCTAGGACAGACTAGCATGAGTGATAGACCTGTACTTGTATAGGACTTACTCGTACATGAAGAAGGGTCGCATCTCCACTCTATGCACGTATCAAGAGATCTAGTTGCAATAGATAACTAATGGAACATTAGTATATCTAAATTCCACACGAAAATGTCAGGAGAATTTTCGGAAGAAATGTGACAAGTTGTGGTTCCCCACCGACTCATCAGATGGAAGTTGGAAGAACAGAATCATCAGCAGTGCCGTCATAAGTTCCCATGGGGGGTAATACAGGACGTAAATCAGCAGCCAGTGAATCCAGGAAGTGGCCTGACCCACCACCGATTTCGACGGATTCTGCAAGCTTTTAGCATGAGTCAGGATAAGGAAACATATGTAATTTTCTGACTAAAATTGATATTTTATACTTATCCTGACTCATGAGGTCAGCCCTCCCAACCTACTCTCTCAGTGCACTCTGGATTTCCCTGTAAATCCGGGTGTCGGGCGTGAAAACAGAGAGAGTGACAAACATAGCTGGTCATGTGATCAAAAAGGGCGCCAAAGGAGTCAAAGGAGACTACTTCCGCTTTTCAGAAGGAACTTCACGGAATTTCAAGTGTTCCACTATCATTCGCAAGAAGAAGGAGACAAGCATTTAGCATGAGTGAGGATAAGTATAAAATATCAATTTTAGTCAGAAAATTACATCTTTTACTCCTGAAGAAAGTTATCTTTTCAGAAATTATGTCCATGACCAGGAGATCTAATTAGAGGGGAAAAAACAAGGTGTTGAGATTCATGACTTGTGTTTATTATGACTTTGGTGTTCACATACACATCAACACTCAACACATGTCATATTGTTGATGCTAAACTCAAAGTCCAGAACCTGAAACAACATTGTTAGAGCTGCAACATATTGCATTATCTATATCTCCTTAAGAGCTTAACATACATGACAACATTATCCAAAAATCCTTCAGGCTTTAAGTGTTAAAAAGATATTCACATTTATATGGGTTAGATGGAAAGTGGAAACAAGAGATAAATTTCAACTGAAGACTCGTTAACTTAATAAGTTAGAAGTAAAGTGTAAACTGGGCCTAGCGGCAGTCGACTGTGCTGTGCATTTCATATAAAGAAGTGAAACTGTCAGTATCACAGATGTTGTTCTGCCAGAATATATAACATTACTGTCACACAGATTACACAATGTTTTTCGAAATTTCCTTCTGTCGGTAACTATTTTTCGAAATAAAATTCTCCCAAGTAGAAGATTTCACTCTCGCGTTTTTAACAGAAGGTGTTCACCTTCTTGAACACATATGAAGATTACCTAATTTAAATTTAACATGTCATCAACCATATTTTTGCTGATAAAATATGCATGATTTTGATATATATTTTATATATTCTCTGATAACATCAAACTTTCGGTGTGGAATCACGACTTAAGCAAGGACATTGGTATGCTATTCATCAGCCAGGTCAATATCAAATCATCTAACTAATAAGGAATCTGGAACTTAAAGCATTTCATACATCCAGACAAAAGACAGGCACTGTAAACTTGGAGGCTGAAATCCCTGATTAATTAAAAAATGTAATTACTCATAGAGAAATTCAAACCTGTGGTACCTGTCCAAACAGATATAGAGTTATTGAAAACAAAACTTCTTGGTGAAACTGCTAAATGTTTTTACAGAGCTTCAGCCCTTGCTCAGAAACCCTATATTTTACACAATAATATTACTGGGTCGCTTAAAGTGAATTCCAAAAGTGATGTCTGAAATAATATTTGTAAAGAGTTATGGTCCTTGCTCCATGCTTTTTAACTTAGCGATAACTATGTGAAATGGGGAGAGGTTTTCTCAAAATCAGTTGAAGTTAGACCATTTAGTCAACACACTGATATCTCTGGTCCTGATCCAAAATGAATACGAAGCTTGGTGTCTTGAATTAGTTAAAAGCGTTACAGCCCTTGCTCAATACTTTTGTGCTTAGTGAGATGAGGACAAGTTTTCTTTGAACCTACAAAAGTTCATGTATAAAGTGTTCATGCTTATCAAAGAAATATTAGCAAGTCTAATTTTAAAAAGTGATTCCATAATGTTTTTCTTCCCATGCTGCAAGTTTATTTGTCTTGCACATACAGTCCTGGACTTAGTCTAAATGGGGACAGATATCTACTGACACTTCGCAAGTTACATGAACTTACTCAAGTGTTACTGTGAAACAGCTGCTGTAAATTATTTTTTCCATAAAAGGGGCCTTTACAAGCATTAGTTTACATTTAAGACTGTTTCTTTTGACATAAAGTAGACATTATTCTTATCTCTTCATTTAGTGACAGTTCCATATTTTTCAATACTGTATGGATTAGCATCATTCTAATGTGCCCCTTACCAGGATCAGTTTCAACGCTGTTTCCTTGTTTACACTTTCATTAGATAACAATATCTATACACAAATACACACTACATTATGTTGGAAATATACATATGCCCAGTCATCAGGTGACTTGTATCACTTTGCTCATAGTTGTACAAATTGACATCACCTGATACTAGGCAGTGAGGGTAGCCTTGAGGTTAAAGCGTTCGCTCGTCATGCCTAAGACCCGAGCATCCATCCGTAGAGCGGAAGGTCGCGGGTTCAATCCCCTGCCACTTCATACGAAAAGACGTTAAAATATGGTTCTTGTTGGTCCCTCTCTGGCACACAGCATTAATGTGTACAACAAGGCCGGGTCGGCTCAGAGTATAATGTGTCTGAGTGGGGTATTCATGCTTAATGGCAGCATGGTATCTCGGTGACCTAAACTATGAAACCAGCTTAAGTCTGGGCCAGTACAAGCAGCCACACATACACATGCATGCACATCGTCATATGAGCAAAATAATGTTAAGTACGATGTTAAACCCCATTTCGCCTCACCTCACCTCACCTCACTTCAGCTTGATAATAGTGTGAGAATCTGAGTTGAAATATTGGTCAATGCAGTAAAAACAAGAAGCCGATCAAGCTTGATGCCTACTGGGACTTGTGGACACCCAATGTTGTATTGTACTTAACCTCACATTTACTGTTTGTTCTACCTCTGTGTTTAGGCTATTTCAGACATTCTTATGAGTAGGGCTGTTCAATATTACCGGTAAACCGGTATATACCAGTACAGTATCTCGCGATACCATTATCGCGATATGGTTCAGATTCTGCAATATATTAGGTCCAGAGTTAGCTCCATTTGAATTATCTGCCCTTGATTTCCATAGCAAACAAATGTGCTCTAAAAGTGCCAAATGTATTTTTATTTCTGTTGGTTTCATGTAGCATTTTACAAGTGGAAGTGTCATTATAAGTGGCTCCAAAATTGCCAAATAGTCTACCAAATACTTTACGTTTTGTGGGTTTGAATGGTTTCATTTGGAGTAGTTAAGTGGCCTCAAATGGACCAATTTTTAATTGGACTTATTAGTAGAGCCTCTGGCTCTGAGTGACCATTTCACAGTTCATATTATTTTGTTATTTTTGTTTGTTTCATAATGGGGCAGATGATATCAATTTATCCTACAGGCCTGAGTCTTGGCTCATGCAGGACTGTATAATGACATTCCAGTCAAGCATCTTAGCAATTGGAAGTCACATGCGATTCTAATCTCAAGTAGTTCAACTAAATCTTGTGTTTGTTTCATTTGGGAAAAGTTCATGTTTACACATTGATTCTGAATGAATCACATACAGTAACAATAATTACATACTGCACTGAAGTGCATTCTGAAGTGCAAACAGCACATACTATGGAAATCATCTTATACTATTACCTTTATCATTATTGTCGCAAAACGTTGGTGCAACATATTCCACATTAAGGCTCTATATCATTTTATTTATCTGTAAATGATTGGCATACAGCCATACACAATGGGGATGGGGAGCCTGAAAGTATCGTGTAACAGCAACTGAGAAGATGTCGCACACACAGAGCTATTCTGAATTTATGATGTACGCACTTGGGCAGTCAATATATCACAATATATATTGCAATATCTCTTAAATTTTTGCAATATATCGCAATATGAAAAATCAGGGCAATATCCAGCCCTACTTATGAGTTCCTCTTTCAACTTTCAGGTGACATTTGAGAATCTGTTCAAAGATCTGAAGGTGGAGAACCTTGTGGAGACATCCCTGACACTCATGCATGACTACGAGGAGATGGACCCAAAGGCTGCTATCCAGGTCGATGCCATGGAGATCAGTGCATTCCGCCTCAAACTCAAGTGATTCGTGACCATCTCATACATCTCAACAGGGTTCCATGGAGCTTACCTTTGCCATCATTTAAGCAATATATACCCAGAGCTCCACAAAACACCTGTACACTGATATACTTGCATACACCTCTTTACGCGGATCAGTTTGCAGATACATCTTTACACTGATCTACTTGCAGACACATATTTACACTGATCCATTTGCAGACACATATACTTGCAGACACCCAGAGCTCCTCAAAACACCTGTACACTGACATGCTTGCATACACCTCTTTACACTGATATACTTGCAGACATCTTTACACTGAACCACTTGTAGACACATTTACTTGCAGACACCCAGAGCTCCTCAAAACACCTGTACACTGACATGCTTGCATACACCTCTTTACACTGATATACTTGCAGACACATCTTTACACTGAACCACTTGTAGACACATATACTTGCAGACACCTCTTTACACTGATATACTTGCAGACATCTTTACAATGATCCACTTGCAGACACATCTTTACACTGATATACATTAATATACTTGCAGACACATCCTGTACACTGATCTACCATGCCTTTATACTGAGATACGGTGTTATGCACCATCGTGATACTGTTTAAGAACTTGCCCAAGTCATCTCTAGGCTCATCTCTGAACAGGATTAGCATTCACTGTTGTTTTTTCTCTTCATTTTTATGGTGAACTGATTTGTTTAAAATCTAACTTTGTCATATTTATATGATGATCAGGGCTGCAGTGTAAAGCTAGTCAAACCTGATTCAAGAAACACGAACATGTAGATTCTTGCCGCTGCTTAAAACTGTTGGTCAAGACAAACAGTAAACCTTCATCAGTGCTTGTTTTATAGTGCAAACGTGCTGAGAAATTATGCTGCAGTTTAGCCTTGGTAAGCCCCAGTATACTACCTCTGAGCCATTATCCCCATAATACTGAGTGCAAGGCAGGGTGACAACAAATACCATCTTTTATTGTCTTTTGGTGTAACGCCGACAGCTGATGGAGCCACTGACATCCCCTTCTCCAGGCAGGTTCTCTGCCACCTACACCATGGGTTTGTGTGTGGTCAGGATGTCGGTACCGGGCTGTGGACAGTTATCAGTTTCTGTTTCTTAATTTGGTGATGTGAGACATATTTTTACAACAATTACATGTACATAAGTGTCAGGTACCTTATTGGCTGTGTGTGACATTGTGTGCAGCATAATGTGTGTGTGTGTGTGTGTGTGTGTGTGTGTGTGTGTGTGTGTGTGTGTGTGTGTGTGTGTGTGTGCACGTGTGTGTGTGTGTGTGTGTGTGTGTGTGTGTGTGTGTGTGTGCACGTGTGTGTGTGTGTGCACGTGTGTGTAGCTGGAGTATGGATGCAGTATCCCATTCTGTTGTAAGTGTGGGGTGTGCCTGGTCCTCCTCAAGGAGTTGTGGCTATGTATTGTCATCTGCTGCCACATCTCAAGCAAATCGACTGTTGTTATGTTTTTTTTTCTCGGGAATTTGGTCCACATTGTTTTGACAAAGGGTTTGAGACATGCAGTCTCTAGTTTCCCATTGCTATGATTCTACTTGTTCATAGTAATACTATTTATTCAGATCTATTTATCTCTTTTAGATATGGGAGTTTTTTTGTACATGTCTAAACTTTGAGCATAGCGTTTGGACTCTCATGTTTAATGTGAATGTAATGCTTTATTATTTATTCATGTTGGGTTATGACTGAAATGGTTGATAATTTTGGCTGTATGTTTTTTAAGGTTGGTCAAAACTTTGTATTGTGGTTTGTTGAGCTGCCACTCATGTTGTGTAGGTCTGTAAAGGTGCCGTGTATGGAGAGGAATGATTAGTGTTTATGGAGGATCAACTTCTATCTTGTACAGTAGCGTTTTCCTTAAACACTTGTCAAACTATTGCTTACAACTTGTAGAATGCCTCTCAGACAGTTCAGCGTATGGAGAGTAGGTCTGGAGACTTCTGATACCCACACTCATGGCATGCAAGGTTTTCTTTGACCCCTGCACTGGTAGTGTCCAATACTATTAACTCTCTCGCACTATGCAATTATCTATTATTATTATTATTATTATTATTATTATTATTGTGTATGGCGCATGAATGTGTGCTTGCTTTTGAAAGTTTATTCTGGCAGAGAAGGTTGTACTAGTTGGAGTAGATTGGCTGTATGGGTATGACATGTCACTGGTAAATATGATGAACCTGATGAGTTATTATGTGTGGAAGTAAATGCCTCTCCTGCCAGGAATGATAGGGTTATAGTTGTGTCAGCACACACTGTACATATATGTAGCAAGTGTGTTGTATCTACAGTGTGACTGTCCTGGGGGCAAACTGGAAAGGCTTATCATATCCGCTGTCCATTGGCATCCTCCATTTACATGGCATTTCTTCTCTACACATTCAAGGGAGGGGTTTCAGTTATCCTTGTAAATAATTCCTTGACATTGAGGTGAATCTGTCCCTTAGGCACCTCTTGTTGTCAGTGTTTGTACATACATTGTGTGACGTCCGGTGGGCAGGGGTGATCAGGGCCTATCTACCAACAACGAAGGGTTCTCACACAGATGCTGGAGTGTTGTGGGTGAAATGTCTACTGTTTGGTAGCAAGTAAGTTTGCATAATATCTGTAGACCTTTGTAAATTAAAACCATAATTTTGTTGTTAAATTGCCAACAAGGAGGCAAAGTTCTACACAAATGGTAAAGCGGCGAATATGCCAGTGTTTTCTTACATTCCAATTGTTCAGTAAAATAGCTTAAAACTGCTACTGGTGCTTACTTGTATGAGCATAAGGTCCATTGCTGGCTGTTACATGCCATTTAACTGAACACAACAGAGCAGAATATATGTGTACAGTTTGGCCATGAGGCCAGTTGTACAGATGCTTGGATAAGATGTGGCACATTGTGACACAGCACTTTAATTTATAATGATTTGGAGTTCATATGGGTTTCTTGTGGGTAAGGAACTAGTTGGTATAAAATACTGCGATCACTGTCTTGTTATGAGAAATGTACACATGTGCATGGTATTCACACTAATAAAAGGGTAAATATAATGTTAGTATAAGGTGGACATATATTGTGCATGGTTTTCATCATCTAAGTTTTCACTACAGACACTACAGACTCAGGGACTATGGGGAAGCCTATGGGCTCATACAAACATCACCACCAGCTTGAAACCCATGTTCACCCCATGACCTTACATGTAATTCCACCTTTAGCTTGCCATATCCGTTAATGGGACCAGCGTCCCGTTCCACAAAGCTGTGTTGGCGTCATGGCTGCTGAGTGGAAGAGGGCTGAGAACATGGCAAATACTGCTCCAACTGGGGTTCAATCTCTCAAGGAATCATTTCACTTAATGTTTCATGGAATTGGATCTCTTTTGGTGTAATATTTTTGAAGAATATTTTGTCAGTTAGATCGACTAGATTTGTGCGAGGTTAATTGTTGCAGCCCAGTGTATGAGTGTCTGTATGCTGGCATTTCTTGCATAGCTGAGCAAGTGAACTTGTGCATTACTGCATATCATCTGTACATTTCCTTATAAATGATATTTTCATCATCAGAGATTCATATTTTAATAAAGGACGAATGTGACAATAGACTTTGTGTGTTTTATTTCATGTGTAGGGTATAATATTCGCAAAAAAGAAGAAAGACAAAGTTGTTTTCAGATGTATGCCTTCTGTATTATATAATCAACAGATCATAATGCATTCTTCAAATTTGGCACATCTTTATCACTGTCAGGGTGAAGGTGTTCTGTTCTCAATATCGTGTATGGCCCCCATGGACTGCCTGGCATCATCACCTCATGGGACCAATCAGATTCATCAAGTCTTCCTGCAGTGAGTGTGCCAACTGTTGGAGGTTCTGTGGCTGTGGCTGACGTGATCGCAGAGGTTGATCCCATATATGTTCGAGGGGCTTTAGATCTTGAGACCTTTAAAGCCTAAAAAAAATCATCAGATTTTCAACAGATATACTCTTCAGTGTCATCTCAATCAGTTATTACAATCACAATAAACACACACACAGCCGTCGCTTCTTTCCTGTTCAGTCTGACTGGGACCGCCTCCGAGGTGTAGTGGTTAGAGCGTCCGCCCGGAGAGCGGAAGGTTGCGGGTTCGTTCCCAGACTGCGTCATACCAAAAGACGTTAAAATATGGTACTTGTTGGTCCCTGTCTGGCGCTCGGCATTAATGGGTACAACAAGGACTGGTCGGCTCGGAGTCAGTATAATGTGTCTGAGTGGGGTATTCATGCTTCACTGCGGCATGGTATCTCAGTGGGCTAGCACTATAAAACCAGCTTCAGTCTGGGCTAGTACAAGCAGCCGCACATACACATACACATGCATGCACGTCGTCATATGAGCGAAATATTCTCAAGCACGACGTTAAACCCAAATTCACCTCACCTCAGTCTGACTAGCATCTTTTCCAGTTATTCCCTGCATGTACTTTTGTACAAATCCAGTACTAAGGTAGCTTTGGTTGCCAGATGAAGAAAACAAAGCACATATACTTTGTAGAATGCTGGGATGATACATCTGTAGCTAGTATACACTGAAAGAAAAAACATAAGGAAAGGAAAAAGGTAGAAAACTCAGAAATACAGTGGAGTCTTTCTATTACGGACTGGACTGGGACCGACTGATTTGTCCGGATTTTAAAGCAGTCCCTATTGGACAACTTTGTTACTGTAGATACTGCCACAATGAGTTCTCTTTTGTGTTTTATTTTTACAATATATTTATATTCAATATATTTATACTTTCACTTGAAAAAGTCTGTTAGCATGGTTTGCTTAGACCTCTGTAAATTTCCACGTAATACAATGTTTTCAGTCATGTTTTTCAAATTGCAAACATGAGGGAGTTTTGCTGATATTCATTCATGTATGAATTAGATTTTTGCATGTGTGCCATGGTAAACCTGTCCGTGACAATTACCTGCCAGAAATATACCGTGTAATATGATCTGTTCATGTTTTGTATGTAACATAAAGGATACATCTGAAAAAGATCAATGCGTTTCTTTTTTGCAGAGTATATTTGTAAACGATTTATGTGACCATAAACTGTCACTCAGTGAGCCCCTTTTGCTCAGATTGGCCACGTTGTTGGAGCTCCTCATCATCAGCGTATCCGTGCGTCAAGCAGAGCTCTGCACATAATCGTGATAATAATGATAATAATAATAAGGGCCTGATGATGTACGCCTCTCCGTGGTGGGCCTAGATTGGGGAATATTATTCCCTGAACTGAACGTACATCACCCAGTTAGGGCTGACCCCACTAAGCTGGGTTTTCTTACTGGGTTACAGACAAACAAGGAGCACACCATCTTTCAACTCCGCAGCCCAGTCAGCCTTCCTCCGGTAGTCAAACTAACCACACTGGAGATGGGACTTGCCCCAGGGGAAGGCACAGCACCCGACTAAGAATATCTTGGTCAAACCATCTGAAAAAGACACTACTAGAGAGTGCAAGAGCGACAGGATGGCCTGCAAATCCGCAAATAAAC